CTATTATTATGTTATCCTTCTTTTATTCTTTAAAAGAAAAAAAAAAGAAAAAATAAATAAATAAATAAGAAACACAGAATTACCCAAAATAACCTAATGATGCACCTCAAGTTCCTAGAAAAATAAAGAATAGTCCAAATCCAAAATTACTACAAGTAAGAAAATTATAAAAATCAGAGCAGAAATTGAGACTTAAAAAAATAAAAAGAATCAATGAATCACAGAGCTGGTTCTTTGAAAGGATAAACAAAATAGAAAAACCCTTAACCAACTTTACAAAAAACAAAAAACAAAAAACAAAAAAAAAAGGAAAGAAGAGACCCAAACCAATTCAATTAGAAATGAAAAAGACAAAATCCAGAAGATTGTTAGTAACTACTTTAAGAAATTGTACTCTAAAAATTGGAGAATTAAAAAAAAGTGGACAGGTTTCTAGACACATACGATTACCAAAACTGAATCAAGATATAAAAACTCTGAATCATCCAATTAATAAGCAATGAAATTGAAGCAATAATAATAGAAACTACCAAATGAGAAAAGCCCAGGTTGCAATGGATTCACTACTAAACTGCAAGAACTTCGGGGAAGATCTAATGCCAATATTCCTCAAACTCTTTAATAAAACTGAAAGGAAGAAGTACTCTCAAAGTCACTCCTCTACACTAGCATTACCCTGATTCTAAAACCAGAAAAGGAACCAACAAAAAAAGAGAACTACAAGCTAACCTTTTTAAAGAAGGTAGATGCAAAAATCCTCAAGAAGATACTGCCAAAGAAAATGCAACACATCATCCAAAGTGATGGAACATACACAAATCAATAAATGTAACATCACATAAACAAAAGCAAGAGCAAAAATCACATAATAATCTCAAAAGATAGAGAAAAGAACTCTGACAAAATCCAAATCCATTCATGACAAAAACTGTGAAGAAAATACATATAGAAGGACCTTATCTCCACCTGGTAACAGTCAATTATGACAAACCAACGGTCAACATCACATTAAATAGGGAAGAACTGAAAGCTGTTCCTCTAAAATCAGGAACAAGGCAAGGATGTCTACTCTCACCACTCCTGTTCATTATAGTACTAGAAATTTAGCCAGAGCAATCAGGCAAGAAGAAGACACAAAAGGAATATGTATAGGAAAAGATGTCAAATTATCGTTATTTACAGATGATATGATCTTTTACATATAAGACCCAACAAATTCCACCAAAAAACTCCTAGAATAACCAAATTTAGTAGTGTAGCAATATACAAAATCAATACACAAAAGCAGTGTTCAGGAACACCAGTGATAAACTCACTGAGAAGAAAATTAGGAAAACAGTACCATTCACAATAATGTCAATAAAAATGAAATACTTAGGAACTAATCTAACCAAGGAAGTGAAAGACCTCACAAAGAAAACAATAGGACTGTGAAAAAGGCAAATGAAGAGGACATCGGAAAATGGAAAGATAACTCCTGTCCCTGCATAGGCAGAACCAATATTGTCAAAATGGCCATACTTCCAAAACTGATACACAGATTTAATGCAATCCCAATCAAAATACCAATAGCATCTCTCACAGAACAAGAAAAAATAATCTTAAAATTCATATGGAACCAGAAGACACCCAAAATAGCAAATCCACACTTGGACAACAAAAGTAAAGCAGAAAGCATCACAATCTTGAACTTCAAGTTACACAACAAAATTACAGTGATAAAAACAGCATGGAATCAGGGTGGGGGGAACTGTGCCAACATGAGTTCAATGGAACAGAATACAAGATGCAAAAACAATTCTAGACACATTCAGCTGTCTGATCTTTGAGAAAGTGGCCAAAAACATACTCTGGAAGAAAGATAGCCTCTTTTAAAAATGGTACAGGTAAAATTGGCTATCCACATGCAGAAGATTGAATCTAGACCTGTATAATTCACCATGTACTAAAATAAAATCAAATGAATCAAAGATTAAAATATTAAAACAAAAAATTAACTGGAAGCTAAAATAGGCATAGGCAAGGATTTCCTGAACAGAAACCCAATTGCACAAGAAATTATACCAAGACCCAACAAATGAGGTCTTATCAATTAAAAAGTTTCTGCACATCAAAGTAAACAAACAACAGAATGAAGAGACAACCTACAGGATGAGAAAAAATTTTTCCTGATTGTACCCAGTCAGAACTAATATCTGAAATATACAAAGAACTCAAAAAAATTAGATTCTCCCAAAATGAAAGACCCAATCAAAAAAATGGGTAACTGAAATGAATGGACACTTACTTGAAGTAGAAATGGACAATAAATACATGAAAAAACGTTCCACATCTCTGGTCATTACAGAAACACAAATTAAAACAACACTGAGATTCTATCTTTTCCAGAATTAATGGCTAGCATCAAGAAATCAATAATAATAAACGTTAGCAAGGCTTTGGGGGAAAAGGAACCCTTACACACTGTTGGTGGGAATGCAAACTAGTACAACTTTTATGGAAATCAGTACAGCATTCCTCAAAAAAAGTAAAACAAGGGCTGGGGATATAGCTCAGTCGCACAGCACCTGCCTGGCAAGTGCAAGGTCCTGAGTTTGATTCCTGGTACAAAAATAAAGTAAAACTAAACATTCCATGAAACCCAGCTATTCTACTTCTAGGTATCATCCTGAAAGAGTTAATGATATCATATTACAATGATGCATGCATATCCATGTTTACAGCAGCATAATATATAACTACTAAATCCTGGAAGCAGCCCATCCATCAGCAGGTGAATGGCAAAGAAAATGTGCTATTTATACACAGTGGAATACTACTCTGCCATAAGAAAGATAAACAAGTCCTTTGTAGGAAATTGGATGTACCTTGAGACCATAACGTTAAGTGAAATAAATCAGATACACAGCCTAAATATTGCATGGCTTCTCTTACAAGATAAACCCAAAATATAAACAGCAAAATAAAAGATAATAGGAAGAAAGGATAGAGATCTTTTGCAAATGGGAAGGGGAGTAAGAGGTGGAGGAAAGGGGTAGGGAGGGGATGAAAAACAATAAAGCATTTATGTATGTGTCCCAACTTCCCACCAGGAACGACACCATTATGCACTGTCTGCATAAAAAGTTTTTAAACTTTCCTGGTTAAAAAAAAGAGCCTCAGTTTTTTCTAATTGAGAAAAGGCTATCCACATGCACACTTAAAATTAGATTACTTAAAACCATAGAAATCCATGACTAGCTAAACTGAAATAGTGACCATAATTCAATTTGTATTTCAGAATTACTTGTTTTCTTATACAGTATAAGAAATCTGAGCATAATGAAAGTGGATATGCCACATATTGAACAAGTTCATCCACAACATCTCCTAAAAGGATTCTCATCAAATTTTATTAAATTGACACAATCAATGACTAAACCTCTGGACAAAATGGCTACCTTTTATTTTCTAGTTGTGCTTTAACTCGTCAGAAAAGTAATTTAATATCATCTTTCCAATTTCACTTCTTGCTCAAACACCACATAAATAAACAAGTTAGAGAATACCGAATGTTATGTGACGTATCTTGCATGCCACAGCCATGGCATAAAACTGGTGGCACCTTCAAAGTATTTTGCTCACTGCTCAGAGATTTAGGCTTCACTTAAAAATGGGGAACTACATCTTCAGCTTGGCATTTCCTACCTGCAAACTCTGTAACTAAATTCATAAGCAATTTTAAATACCAAAGCTCATCAACAGTGCCTCCCAGGATCTTTGAAGGTTAAACAGATATGCAAGTATGACACTGTGTAAAACGTTTGCACATTTGTGTTATGAGAGAAAGTTCAGTACACCTCAACCTTACCTGAGGGTGGCTGTGCCAAACGCTCACCATCCCCTTGGGAATTACTCATTTCCACGGCTTCATGAGTGCACAGGAGGGGCTCTTCTGCTTTAGCCTCTGATAACTTCAGGATTCCATAACACAATTTAAAAACACACAGGCAATTTAGATTAATTTTGGCTAATTCTCTTGCAAAATCCAAAAATGAGATGCTATTTTAAAAAATCAGAAAGTAGCTCATGTTAATTCATTCTCCTTAGAAACGGAAGAAAATCCTAATGTATGTAGCCTACTAGCCGACTCACAGATATACAAACCATAAGCTCCTATATGGGGGGTGATAAATACACGGGAGCTCATTATTACTATCTCTTTCATGCATTTGAAATTTCCATAACAAAAATATCTCAAAAGTAAAACAATTGTATACCCCTAAAACATGATATCCAAGAAACCTAGTATGATTTGCATATAAATTGGGTTAAAACTAATGCATTCCAATAGTAACTTTGAACCGATTTCTGTTCTATATTTTAAAATATTAGTATCTAAAAACTTCAATGCCTTTTACTAAAAAGAAATTTCCTCAAAAATGCATAAATCTCTTTCATCTACTCTTCTTTGGTTGACTTAGACTGAAAGATTTTTTAAAGACAGTAAAATCACACAAGCATGTTTCCTAATAACTGAAAGAATGAAAACAACTTTTAAGTGATTGATAATTTATATTGTTTCCTTTTTCCTTCAAGGAGACTGGGAAAATGTGGAAAGGAAATTAACAGAAAAGGGTAGAAGAAAAAAGTAAATACTGGCTTCCATCACCCCACCAGGTAAATGTGCAACTTATCCTTGGGAAGATTAGGCACTCTGTGGAAATGGTTCTTAATGGAGGAACCAAATGCCAGGAAATGTGACACTGCATTATTCCACTTCAGCCTCACTGCATGAAAGCCTGGAGCGGACCTTCAGAGTAGCAATGGTTGCTATTTCAACATAGTAAAGGAATCAGGGAGAATGGAAAAGTAAAATGTTTTCTTAATCTTCTTTCTTTCAGAAAATTAACAGGAATTTTTATAAGGAACTCTCCCAAAATATATTAGTTTTTGAAGTTGATGATCCTAGTCTTTATCATGGAATTTAAAAGGTAGCATGTTGGATGAATTACAAAAATGCATTAAGTTATAAAGAATGTTTCTGTTTAATTGTCTGGTTGTTTTTTGGTGCGGGGATTGATCCCTATGTCTTGCACATGCTAGGCACAAGCTCTACTATTAAGCCAAACCTCATCCCCAAGAACTCCTTTCTTTATAAGAATGTATGAAGTAAGTATACATTATTATAAGAAAGCATATGCTTCCTATATTTAAAAAGTATAAAAATTAAATATAAGTGCTTAGACTTGCCAAGAAAATATGAACACTGAGGCCCTGTGTAGTTCCACAAAAGCTTAAATACTAACAGCAAAGACTAGATGGAAAATTAATATGAGATAATAGCAATGAAATATAATTCTGTTGCATTTATATGTTCTGAAGGCACCTGTTTTTTTCTCTTCCTTTCTTCTTCCAGGTCATATTCCTCTTTTGATTTTCTGAAATATAAAACACAAAATAATCTCCAGGGATCAAGTTGGATCTACTATAACTTTCTTCCACTGGTGACTCGATCCTTACTCCTATGATGGGGCCTCTCATTTAAACTGATCTGGCACGAGTGACCTAACAATAATTGTGTCTGTCTATGAAACTCAAGAGTAAAAATAAAGAGCAAAATAAAAGAGAACAGGAAGTAGAGAGACAGATCTTTCCTCAAAGGGAAAGGGATCAAGAGATGGAGGGTGGGGATGGTGGAGGGGAAGGGGATGAAAGAAAGGAACTGGGGTGTGTTGTATATATGGACCAGCTCCACACAAGGAGTGTAAATGCTATGCACTGCAAGCATGGACTAATAATCTAAAATAAAATGTAAGTAATTTTAAAATATAATAATAATTTTTAAATGTAAAAAAAGAAATATAATACAGGTTGAGCATCCCTAATCTGAAAATCTGAAATGCTCAAATATCCAGAAACTTTCTGTATGCCAAAATGATCCTCAAAAATGCCGCAGATTTTAGATTTTCAGATTAGGGGTTCTCAACCAGGAAGGTCTATGCAAATATTCCAAATTCCAATATATACAAAATCAGAAACACTTCTGGCCCTAACCATTTTGGATAATGGATTCTCAACCTGTGTCTACACTGTTATAAAATGATAAATCATTTTGTTGCTCTTCAGTACAGAATTCATGTTTTCTGGGTAAAATCATATATATACAGATCACTTTATCAGATTATTAACATTACTAATGATCATTCAAAAATAAGTAAAGAAAGGCACCTAAGAACTTCCCTCAGGATCTTCATCTCTTCCTGCTCGAGGTCACTGACCACATCAGAACCATCAGTTAAGCAGTCAGGTAACACACCTGTTGCAAACCAAGTATCACATGGCAGAACATCAACTCAACTGAAAACTCTTCTCACTGCTTCAGTTTATCTACTAAAATCACTTTATGATTTATCACTTTAAAAAACATTCCCAGCTTATCTTTCTTTGTTTTGCTGTTGTTTTGTTGTTGTTGTTGTTGTTGTTTTGAGACAGAATCTCGCCATGTAGTTCAGACCGGCCTTGAACTCACTATGTAGCCTAGGCTGGCCTCAAAGTCATGGTGATCCTCCTGCATCAGCCTCCCAAATGCTGGGATTACAGGTGTGCACCACCATACCCAGCCAAGCTTATCTTTTTAACTCTCCTCTTTCTAACTTTTTCTCATTTTAAGGAATCAGTCCCACCAAAAGCGACAATTTTACCTAGAAGTATCTCTCAATGATTATTTGCATTAGCTACTGAAAATAATGATAGGAGCTGAGGATGTAGCTCAATGGTGGAGCACTAGGCTAGCATGCATGAGGTCCTGGGCTAGATCCCCAGCACCACCAAAAAAAGTACGGCAATAAAATGAATGTAAGTTACTGTCTCCCATCATATAGTTATCTTGAGGCCATAAAATGAAATCATTGAGCTAGGGCAGATAATGAAACCATGTTCTCCAAGGTGCCCCTTAAATGGGAAAAGAACTTACAAAATAAAATGTTTTCTATCAAAACAACATTTAAGGGGCCAGGGATATAGCCCAGCAGCATAGCACCTGCCTGGCAAGTGCGAGGTCGTGAATTCAATTGCCAGTACCCAAAAAAACAATATTTAATATTCTTCATTCCTATTATGACAAATGTTACTGAAAAGGGCCCTACTTGCTATGTGCAATGAGAGCCCAGTGCGAAGCACTCTGGGGGACATAAAGATAAACGAGGTGATTCCTACCCTTAGAGCACCTGCTCAGGCATCAGTCTCATAACTACAGAGCACAGCAGTGCCAACTCTGCCCAAAGGCAAATAAAAATTCACAGAAGTAACTTTAAATGCTGCTTTAACTTACACCTTCCTGATAAGCAAGCAAGCTGCTAACAGATGCTGTGTGCATATCTATAAAAACTACATTCTGTAACAGTAACAGAATGTCTCTTCCTTTTTACCTTCCATTTCATTACCACATAAGGCTACAGGATGTTAGACATGCTCTGAAGTAAAGTGGCTTTACTACTCTAGTCCCCTTGATGTTTAAGTGCATTTGTTAAAATTAAACATTTTACTTTGAGATAATTGCAAATTCACGTGCAGTTGTAAAGAAATAAAGATACAAAATATCCTTCGGTCCCCCCAGTGGTAACATCTTGCAAAATTATAGTGCAGTATCACCAGAGTGGCATTTATAAGGGGTCTGGAATCCAGACCCTTAAGAGCAATACAACTAACAACACAACTCACTATAGCTCTCATTTCTTCAAGAAAGAAAGGAAAGTTCCTGCTTCCAAGCTGCCTGTGATCCCAGTACTCTGGGAAGCTGACACTGGAGAATCATAAGTTTGAGGCCAGTAAGAGCAATTTAACAACTTAGCAAGACCCTGTCTCAAAATAAAAAATAAAAAAAAGGACTCGAGATGTAGCTCAGTGCAAAGGTTCTAATTCAATCCCCGGTACCTGGAAAAAAAAAAGGTTGGGAACCATTGTAAAGAATATCAGCAGCAATCAATTAAGCAAAACAAAATGAAAGGAGCACATAAAAACGAAAATGAAATCACCAGAGCCATGGGTTTAGGGTTTATTCTTAGTGCAGTTGCTTTGTGTTTGTGGCGCTGGGCTGAACGAACCCAGGCCTAATGCTTCTTCCCCATGAACTCTTAACAAGGATCTAGATCCCCGGGTGGAGCTACAAATCTAAAACAGAAATGAGAATCTTTTCTGGGGGGTTGGGGGGGATAGCCAAGAATCAAACTTAGTACCTTGTGCTTGCCAGGCAGGAGAGTCTATTCTAAATAGGAGACGGTACAATAACAAGAAATACGGTTAGCAGCTTAGCTGTTGTGCATCAGAATTTCTAATGCAGTTCAGGCACACAAGAAGGAAACAAAAGCAGAAAAAGCAAGAAAGCTTGAGCATGGAGATAGGCAAAGATGAAGCCAAACAGAGTTAGTAGCGCCTTCCTTGTCTTCTCTGTTCCATGTGATGCTGGTGTGGTATCACTGGCCCCTGCACTCTAGACCAGAGGTTCTAAGTGTGGGCCCAATTCCAGCTACCTCCAGCATCACCTGGGGACATGTTAGAAATGCAAATCTTCTGTGTGTGTGTATTTTTATACAACAGGGTACTACTCTGCCATAAAAAAGATAAGCTTGAGATATTTCCAGCTAAATGGATATGCCTCGAGACTACACTCTTAGTCTCTGGGAGCTTGCCACATGAGTTTCAACAACACTTCAAATTGATTCTAGCGTGCACAAAAGCTTGGGAACATTATCACTTACTAACATTTAACAATAATAAGCCAGGAGAATAGGCACCTTCTCTCAGCAGTAACTAAATCACTCAAAAATATCAAATTTCATAAACACAATGGTTGAATAAAAAACCAAGCTCTATAAAATCTAAACCATCATTAAATCAAATTTTGGTCTGCTTTCTCTGAGTTGTCAAATACATACTGACCAGGAAGTTTATGCACTGAAACTCTCTTGCATTCACCAAATGGTTACAAACTTGAAATAAATTTATATAAAGGAGCTACATTTAAAACCATATTATAGTCAGAACCAGAAAAACTGAAAAAAATGGATTTAGAACTTAGATTTCAAACATCAACATTTTACCATTTCTCTCTTGAATGATTCTAATGGCCTGCAGCTGCATTTCAATGTTTTTCTGGACCATCATTGTTTTAAAGATAGTAAAATCTTCTGCTGCCAACACAGGCTGCAAAATGGCCTGTGGAAAGAAATCCGGAGGTTAAATGAAGATTCAAGTTTTAAAATTATATCCCACACCACAAAACGGAACATGAATTCATGAAAGCTTCATCATGATTTATGCCCAAGTGACTCACACAATTTTAAAGTTTTCTTTCATTTTGTATTTTTATCGGTACCTGTTTGCAGTACATAGTGACTACGTTCACTGTGGAGTTGGTACGTGTAGGTAACACATCTCACTTCTCTGTATGTCCCTTTTCCCCAACTCTTCATCCCTTCCCTATTTGCAAAAGATCTGTCTGCCTGTTTCCCATTATCCATCTTTTATAAAAGCCTTTAAAATAGGATTTTCAAGAGACTGACCTTCTAAATTCACACGCCACCAGTAAGCTGCATCTCACAGTGATATATTTTTGCAAAGGAGCCAGCACTAAATGACTCTAAAACAACACAGAAACCTTCCTTATATTTTTGAAGTTACCACTGTGGTATCTGGATTTGTTTTCAGCCAAAACTTTCAATTATTTGGGTTTTTGTTGTTTGAGGGAGTTTTGTTTTGTTCTGTGGTACTGAACACTGAACCCAGGGCCTCTGTACGGAGCTATACTTCCAGCCCCACACCTCTTCAGACAGGGCCTCACTATGTCGACAAGTTGCCTAGACTGGGCTTGAACTTTGAATTCTTCTGCCTCAGCCTCCCAGAGTGCTGAGATTATAGCGGCTCACACCCAGATTCTGTTTTTTAATAAACAAAAATGTTTTCCTTCCTAAATGTAAAATTCAGGAAACAAAACATGCATGATGTTCCAGGAATAGCATCACCGGTAGTTCACTTGCAAAAGAGGTATATTTTGGGATATTTGGTGATATTTATCCTAGTATAAAGCACTTCAGAAAAAGAACCAACCCAGCCATTATTATTTAAAACCCTACTCCTTCACTCACTCTCTTTGAGCAGAAAATAATCCATTTCTGTAGAATTTTAGCTATAGGACCAGACCTAGGAAAGATAAGGAATATCTAAAAGTCATCTGGGAAGAGAAAATTATTTTCCTGAGACTTGGAAGCAGTCATTCATCACGGTGCTGGAAGGCACTCCTCAGTGAGCTTCCTGCCAACGGTCTTCAGAGGAAAGCAGAGCATCTGGGCTTTGGGGAGGGCTGCTGCTTGCTGGATCACAGACCAGCAGGGCACCCCTACAGGCCTTCTGCACGCAGGACAGCTGAAGCACTGATCCCCTCCACACAGGCCTCCTGCGTGAGCCGCTGTCGGGTGCTCACAATGGCCCTAGAAGATGCGGCAGTGGCAGTGCCAGCTTTGAGCCTAATATCATACTTAACAGGAAGAAACTACATTAAAAAGCAAGGGCAAGGGCCAGGGACGATGACACACGCTGACAATCCCAGCTATTGAAGAGGCTGAGGGTGAAGAATTCCAAGTCTGAAGCCAGCTTGGGCAATTTAGGCAGACCCTGTCTCAAAATAAAACATAAAAGATCTAGGATGAAGCTCAGTGGTACAGTGTGTGCCCAGCATCCACATGGCCCTGGGTTTAACCACTAGCATGTAGAAAATTAAAAATATAAACCAATTTTAAATCAAAACAAACACGCCCCTCTCACCAGTCCCATCCAGCACTGTCTGAAAATCCTAGCTGATGCCGCAAGAAAGGTAATAAAATGGACGCAAATTTGGAAGAAACAAAACTGGTTTGTTCAGAGGTTACATGACTATAGAAAATACAAAAAAAGTTTTTAACTTCCAGAACATACAAATAATTATAGCAAGGAGGCAGAGAAGAAGATTATCATTTAAAAGTAAACCACTTTCCTATGTACCACAATGAACAACTAAAATTTGAAATTAAAAATATAATACAAAGGCTATACTTTCAGGGATCATTTCTATAGTATGTTACTAGAGAAGTTTCTCTGATTGTGTGGAGTACCAAAAATGTAATACAACTTATACTAACATCAAAAAAACAAAACTACTTAGGAATAATTCTGACAAAGTACACATAAAATCTATATGAGGAAAACTATAAACCTCTCATTTTTTTTGTACCAGGAATCAAACTCAAGACCTTGTACGTGCCAGGCAAAATTTTTGTGTTCACATGAAAGCCTGCATACAAATATTTTATAACAGCTCTAGTCATAATTGCCAAAAACTGGAAGCAACCAAGATGGATAATCAAGCTATAGTATATCTATACAACCTGTGATAAAAAATTAGTAAGCTATAAAACATGGAGGAAACTTAGATGCATATTGATTAGTACAGGAAGTCAGTCTGCAAAGACTACCTGCCATCCGTTTCCAATGAATCACACTCTGGAAACACAGAATTATGGAGACAGTTACAGTGACACTGGTTGCCAAAAGACTGGGACAAGGCCAGAAAAGATGAATATGTGGAGCACAGGAGCTTTTCAGAGTAGTGAAAATATTTTTGGTGACAATGGTGGCAAATACTTGGCAAAACCCAAAGAACTATACAACACAAAGGATAAAATAAGTTATCAATATTGATTCATCAAGTGTACCAAATATACTATATTAACTCAAGATTTTATTATGATAAACTATCTGCTTAATTTTCTGTAAATATGAAATTGCTCTAAAATAGAAAGTCCGTTAATTTTTTAAATCTTAACTAGCATCCACAGAAAATATGCCTAATATCCTGTATGGATTTCTAGAAATTAAATGCTAACACATATATATGATCTTTTCAACATTTCAGTTACTGAAGAAAAAAACACAATTTTCCCGAACTGTTATTGTAAAATAAGTGTTTCTGCAAGTGTTGGTTTCTTTTCTTGTTTGTTTTGTTTTGTTTTTCTCTGGTACCAGGAATCGAACTTGAGGTCCCTGGCTTTTTCCATTAAAATTAATAATCAGCTTTATCCTCACCAAAAAATCATAAGAAAGTAGGAGTCATTTTTACCTACAACTAGAAAATTCCACAAAATTCTGAAGTTCAACTAAAATTTCTCACTATTCACTATACTGTCATACTTTCTAAATTGGTAGATAAGTATTTTAATTCACGGACTTCTTTCAGAATTCATAGATACACAACAGAAAAATATGCTGTTAAAAAGTGGGAAGGTGTTTTGGTTGATGTCACTTTTTAAGTGGAACATTTCATCTAAGGCACTCCTTGCCAGTCTCACTGGCTTAAATATACAAAGAATATGCCACGGTCAATGGTCCATGTCAGCAATGGCGAACCTCTCCAAGCTTCCAGTGCTGCAAACAGCCCACTGCAAGTAGGCCTGCCCTAGGTTTGTTACCAGTGGTCTAGGGCTACTGACTAAAGAAGGTGAAAAGAATTACACAAGTCTGCTTTAATAGTACAATTTAATAAGAGCTGACAGCTGGTTTAGAAAATCAAAACCAAATTAATTCAAACCAAACAAAACAAAAAGTACCTTCTAAATTACTCAGGGTAAGCAATTTTTTCTTGAGTTCATTCTTAGAAATCCCATGCTGGCAAAATGAAACCAACATCCTGATTTCCATGATAGAGATTACCCAGCCGCAACGTAGTAAACACTGTCTCAAACCTTTTTTGGCAACGGTGACAGCCCTGTTGATGCAGGGTTGGTATTTGGTCTCTGGTGACTAAGACCTTGCTGCAACAGAACATAATGCTAACTAACTACTGCATGTGGAAATTGAACCCAAGATCTGACCTGATCACCACAGTGATCAAACAACAAAGTGCTTAATTTATTTATAGACTCCCTGATATATACCAGGTATCACGCTAAATGGTTATCTTAGTTACTGAGACAAAATGCCTCCCAAAGTTAAAGGAGGAAAGGTTTATTTTGCTCATTTTTTGTAGAAGTTTTGGTCTTTAATCAGTTGGGCGGTGTGACACAGCCACAAGTCCAGAGTGCTGTACCAGAGGAAAAACAGTGCATGGTGGCAAAGCAATAAGGGGACGACCGCAGCTCCTTCTATCCCTTACATTTTCTCCAGGCTACTTAGGGTGGGCAGCACTCACACCCTTAATCCTAGTGCCCTTGATTCTATTCAGCTGAAATTGATTTGCTGCACAATGAATCTATCAAAGCATCACACACTCGAGATCCAGCCACCTCTGAAAAAGCCCACCTATGACTGCAGGAGGCTTTGGGAGGACATCTAGACACAAGCCCTAACAATGGTTTATAACATTATCTCTTAACCTTCACAAAAAAGATCTTCAAAAGTAGATACTATCTCCACACACAAACATGAAAACTGAGAAACAAAAAGATTAAGAAGGTAAAACTATAAAATAAAACATTGTGTTCAACATCTTATAGTGGTAAACAAAAGATCCAAAGTGAGTCTGTCTCAGAGGCTTGTTTCCCTCTATAACAAGACTGTACTGCCAATTAGCTCTCAGCAGAAAGACAGTGCACAAGTACTGCAGAAAAGCAGCAGGAAATCAAGGCTGAGAACAGAATTGGGTTACATCACAAGCCTCACTATCATCTTGCTAAGGAATTATAGTTTAGTTGGTAAAGGACAGGAGCCAAAACAAATTTTTAAAAAGAGTAGTACTTGGGTAGTAGCAGCATATTCCTACCCTCAACCTCTGAGCAAGGGCTCTCAGATCACCTAGGTTGGTATATTGGTGCTGTTATTTTTTGTTTTGTTTTGTTTTGTTTTCCGGTACTGGGAATCGAACTCATGATCTTGCGCTTGCCAGGCAGGTGCTGTGCCGCTGAGCTAATTCCCCAGCCCCTGGTGCTGTTATTTAGTATCTCTGTGCTTTACTTTCCTTTACTTATTTATAGGTGGAAGCTAAATAGTACCAGTTTTTTAGGAGGCATCATAATGATTAAATAAGAAAATACAATACATGCCAGGGTATAAAATATCAAGTAGCATAAGCTTTCAATAAACGTTAGTTACAAACATATGTATTATCTTCTTCTTCAGTACTGAAGAACTACTGAGGCAATAAAAATAGTTTCAAGAGAAGGAAGTCACTATGACTGTGGACCTACTAAAGGCAGCTACAGAATTGTCAGAGATCTATAGAAATAAAATAAGTAATTTCAATAAACCCTACAATCTTATTATTGTTCAAAAAGTTCATTTTTAATTGTATTGGTTTATTAATGCCTCAAATTATCATCTGTCAAAGCTGTTGTAAAAGAACCTACATATAATGAATTATTTTTTGACTTCTCACAGTATCTAAAATGTTATGCTTTCACAAACATATGAAATGTAAGTGAAACTCTAGGAATTTTTGTTCTCACTACATTACAATAACACAAAAGCAAAAACCTGTGATGTTCGAGTCTTCGCAAGAGGAGAAGTGCACGCCTCCTGAAACTGATCTTCATTAATTCCAATTTCTTTGAGGTAACCTTCTAACAGCTTTTCAACCTAAAAAAAGGTTTAATTTTGATAATTTCCACAGAAAAATTCTAAATGACAGTTTTCCTATTAAGTATTGATTTGGAAAAGTAAATCAAGTGTATTCTTGCAAACATTAATCTACATAATATTATATTACATACAAGTAATACTGTCTTTCACCGAAAACAAACAGGAAGAATATTTTGTTTGGTTCTTTGTCTTACAGATAATCACATGAAATTTTCTTTCATCCACTAGAAATAAGTCAAGAAATTCAGTAAGTCATGAAATTCAATGTGGCAACACTCTTCTCTAACCAGATGCATTTTTAAAAAAACTTACAAGACAACCATAAGAGAGAGAAAAACTAACCATTCTCTGGAGGCATCAGCCAAATAAGAATAAAATTTAAAAATCAGATACAAGATCCCCACAACTGTGTTAAAACCATTCCTTAGATTCTAGGGTTGAAGAGATACAAAAGCATAAAAATGAGATGCTCAGAGAATTCATGGAGTCTGATAAACTAGTAGTAACATTAGCACAGCCTGGATATTTCTAAAATTAAAGAATTTTAATGAAACAAAATTTATTTTTTAAATTCAGACAAGTATTAATATCCCAATTACCTTTTAAAAAATCAGCAAAAAAGTACTCACTAGTTCTTTATATTCCTGATGAATCTCTGTATAGGTCAATTTGCTTTCTTCTTCATCATCAAAAACTAAATTTAGAAGAAAAATATTATATAGTGTTAAAAATCATCGCATTAACACAAAAACTCACTGTTTACAAATAGAACTATCATTCTGGTTATCTGCCTCTTCAGTTTTGTATTCTTGCAGTTTTTCTTTAAAAATATATATACACATAAATGTATAAATTATTAATTATAAACGTTTTTTCTTCTCAAGAAAATATTCAAAACAGAACTACTTCATATTTAAGACAAAGAGCAATTTGTCACTTTTTAATCAATAATATAAGGCAATAATTTCTTCATAAACTTTTAATGAACTAATAGTAAATGTTAAATCCTTTTACAACAGTCCCTAGACTATTTTATTATACTGGAACTTTGCGGATGCAAATTTTACTGAAAGTGAGCAGGTCATTTTTGTTACATAGATCAGTATGTGAAAAAGTGTAGATTTTAAAAGATATATTTACACCCCCCCCAAAAAAAGATACATATTCCTTCAAGGAGCTACAATCTGCTGGTCCTAGTAGTAGCATATGCCTGTAATTATAGCACTCTGAGAGGTTCAGACATGAGGATCACAATACTCAAAGCCAGCCTGATTAACTTAGTGAGACCCTGTCTCAAAAGAAAAAATAAAAATAAAAAGGACTTGGGATGTAGCTTAATCCAAAGGTCTTGGTGTTCAACCCCTACCCACCACCCACCCCCGCCATACTGGGGGAGGGAGGGCTACAATTTAACTAGGCAAGACAAATTCACCAGTTATAAGCCATAAACATTTTTTCATTCTGCCAGAATGATCCTAAGACAAGTGCTTTGTACAAAATCCTTAGGCCAAACAAGATTCTGCAAGATTAGATCCCAAGCCTCATCTCTCACCAGATTTTGCCACCCACACAATACACAACCTCTTAGAATATCTCCAAAGTGAACTTCCAAACCCCCTTGCCTTTGCTCAAGCCTTTCTTTAGCTTTTTGCCTCTACTCCATCCCATGTCCCCTTTCTCCCCACCACTGTTCAAGACACTGCCAGTGGCACATTCTCCATGACCTGCTACCCACTCCCAACTCTAGGCTGGCTAGATTCCTTCCTCTTAGCTCGTAACACTAACATTCAGTGCCTACTGTTACTATAGCATTTGATACTTGGTATTTTATTCTGTTTACCTGCTTGTACTCTCCTATAAATTTCTTAAGCACAGGATTTTGTTATTCATCTATCTCTTGCTTCTGATCCCAGGACATGCAATATTTGTTGAAGTAAATCTTGATGTAAAAATTACTCTTTAAATTATCGAATGCAGGCATAGCACACTGACAACCACAAGTCTGTGAAGTATAAACAGTTATTTCAAGTGTCACTGGCATGTTACTTCTATTTATCCTGTATCTCTTTTATGTAACACTTCACAATCATTCAATACAATAGCTACTTTAAGCTGTTTTTGGTTAGCTCTGAAATCAAATTACTACAGCACATGTACATACAGCTGAGAATTTGTTTCTCTATAAAATTACAAAATCAAGTATGTCAGTACTGAAAGGCAGACACTTTTGGCTTTGGGGGATAAAAAAGATGAGCTTTATTTATTTTTTCTATTTCAGCATTTAGGCTCAGCCAGGTAAATGACATCAATAGGTGACACAATTTCTTTTAAAAGAGGTCGGATGAGACCCCTCCTGCTATTCCTATGCCCCATTCTTTTTCTCCAAAAAATTTTCCTACCCTTAAAAAAATAAGATAAATAAAAAATAAAAGAGATCAAAATTCTACACGTGTTATTAGTCTCAATGTAGCATTTTAAATCTGAAGGCAAACAAATAAAAGTTTTGTTTTTGAATCTCCTTTAAAATTACCTGTAAAAACGACACTTAGTAACTAGTATTTTATAATGAGAATATAAAAAAGATTCAAGCCAGGTGTGGTGGTGTATTCCTGTAATCCCAACTAGTGGTAAGGCCGAGGTGGGAGGATCAGGAGATTCCCTGGGCAAAGAAGTACGATCTTCCCGCCCCCTATCTCAAAACAGAATTCAATGGTCAAATGAAATTTCACCTTTATTGAATTCACGGACTCTTGAAAGAAATCTTTAAAAATTATCCAGGATAACAAACCATTTGATAGTTGAATCTCCTCTACTATCTCCATTAAATCACTGCAGATCCATTCAAATATTGCCAGTGACTGAGGAACATATTATCTTTCCAGTCAGGCCAACTCATTCTGGTTATGTCCCGTTATGAAGCATTTCCTCCGTTCAAATTTGTTTCCCTTCAGCTTGTACCCACTGACTGCCGCTCCATCCCACTGATCCTTGCAAATAAACCTAATCCTTGCAGCGTAAGACAGACATTCAAACGATCGGGGATATTACTACCCTCCAACTCTTGCCCAAATAAATAAACAAGACAAGGACTGGACACTAGTTCATACGACAGTTTCTGGTTCCCTTTCCGTGAATGGAGTCCAATTTATCTGCAAAAACTGAATCCAGAACTCCCAAGAGTGAACCGATCCGAGAGCTCCCTCCAAGGGTGTTACAGCACGTCGGCCGGCCTCCGTTGTTACACGGAACCCCACCCAGCCCCCCACTTATGGTCCAGCGGGAGAGAGCTCCGCAGGGGACGGACCTCCGCGACTCCCCGCGCGGCCCGCTGCAGCAATCCCACCCCTCTCCTCCGCGTGTCCTGTCCACACGGCTGCATCATTCTCATTTTCTAGACCGACCCCGCAGGGTGAAGCGCTAAGAATCGGAAGGAGCTTCCCTCTTAGGGGCTGGGGAGCGGCCGAAGGGCCCGGGCAGAGGCGGCTCCCCGGGCAGGCCCGCGGGACCGCGCGCAGGCGAGCCCGAATCAGCGCCGCACGTCTGCGGCCCCGGAGCAGCGGCGGCGGCGGCGTCTAACCTCAGACGTGCGGCGCGGAGCGGGCCTCGCGGAGAGACCGCGGCTCCTCCGCCAGCGCCAGGTCGAGAGCCGGCCGGGGTGCAGCGGAGGAGCAGGGCTCCAGCGACCGCGTCCTGCGCTGCCCCGTGAGCGAGCCACCCGCGCCCTCCGCCAGACTCTGGCTTTTACCTTCACATTTCTGCTCCACGAAGTCCAGGATGGGGATGTACCAGTCCGGCCCGCGGAGGAACCCCGCGATGCTCTCCACCACCCACTCCACCTCGTCCTCCGCCTCCGCAGCCATCACGCCCCCAGGGGCTACGCAGACCCCCAGGCCAGACTCCCCGAGCTGGCGAAAACCTCCAGGCCGCCGAGAGGGAGCGGGGGAGAGGCGCCCCGGTGTCGCGCAGCCACCTGGATAAAGCTACAAGCCGGTTAACGTAAAATGGTCGCTATGGCAACGGTCCCAGCCGCCGGGATTGGGACCCGGAAGTGAAGCCGCCTTCCCGGGCCTGGGCGCCTCAATGCATTTAAAGAGCATTTCTGATTGGCTGAGAGGGAATAGAGCCGTTCCAAGATAGACCTTCGCCCATTGGCCGGGAGTTGCCAGGCGAGCCGAGGGGTAACGAGTGGCGTTTTCTCTTCTCGGAGTCCGCTGGAGCCGGGGGTGACGGCGGCGTCCCCGGGGCTGTAGCGAGCCAGGGCGAGGTTTGCCAGGCTTCTTCAGTTCGTGGTTTTAACGTCAGCTCCTCAGTCAGAACCGTTCTCTGACCCACAGGCGCAGAAACTTAAAATTATTGGGTCGTACGAATATACAAAGTAGAACTAAGCCCATCCATAAGGTTTGCTAATTGCACATTCACTTTACATAGTTGAGATCCAAGCGGATAATTAATCACAGCATTAGGACCTTTTCAAAGGCAAAGTCAGTGTTAAGATTCATTTAAATAAGTGTCCTGACATCTCCTAATAGCTAAATCCTGGAAATAGCGTGTATACCCATCAACTGATGATTGGACAAAGAAACCGTGGGATTTATATGCTATGGAATACTACTCTACTATTAAGAATGACATTTGTAGGAACATGGATCCACCTGACAAATATAATTTTGAGCGAAATAAATGGAATACGCAAGCTTCAATACTGTATGGTATCTTATTTGAGAGAGGCGGAGTACGAACAGAATAATAAAGGATGGATAGAAGGGGACAAGGAGAGGGATCTCTTCGCAATAGGGAAGTAAGTGGTCCAAGGGAAGAGGCACAGGAGGTGAGCAGGAGGTTGAGGGAAAATAAGTAAAATAAAGACGTGCCATGTACAAGAACCTAATAACCTCAATGAATGTAAACATTATATGCTATAGCATGAGCTGAGATTAATAACATCAAACGTGAAAAACGGGTTGGGGAAATTGGAGGAGGAGGGAGGGGAAGGCAGGGAAGCAGAGGGGATAACAAAAACAGACGACAGAAGCTGTGGTATGTACACGTAACTGCTCCCCAAGATGACTGTAAGCTATATGCATAGCAAACATATACTAATTTTTAAAAATTATAAAACCTCCAAAAATAAGTAAGTGTCTTGGTAACCAAATCTCATATCAGATAATTCCAACTCAGCTTAGAGGTTGGGAGCCGTTGTGGAACGGATCTTCAAAGGTCATTGTCAAGGTGCTTGAATCCCTAAGATGTCACCAAACAACAGAGTCTGCCAAAAAATGTACACTTCAGGAAAAGAAAAATAGTAGGTTTTTTCAGCAGATGGTGTTACCCTCGTATGGGGGCCCCTCAGGGATGTTGTATATCACAGAAAACCCACTGCACTGCCAGTCCTTACAGAAGAAGTTGAAAATGCATGTGCAGCAATCACAATGACCAAAGTCACCCACGCAGCAGTTTGCCGTACTAATGAATGTCTGCAAGATAATGGAAAGCACTCTGAGAACCTCTTGTAATTGTCAAGGCAAAGGTAACTTGTATTAATCTCATGAAGTCTCAGTAAATTTAGTATTAAAACATTTGTTTCTCTTGTATAATATGTAATGAACCTACAAATATGTACATATGCTTTTGATCTCTAGTCTCATTATTTCCTTGCAATAAATTTTCCAAGGGAAAATTACTGAACTTATTCTTAAAACTCTTTTTTAAAATTACCTTTGCCAGGGCTGGGGATTTAGCTCAGTGGCACAGAGCCTGCCTGGCAAGCGCAAGGTTGTGAGTTTGATTCCCGGTACTGGAAACAAAAAAACAAACAAACAAAACCTTTGCCAATACAATAGGTTAAAATGATACATAAGGGCCGGGGATATATCTCAGTGGCACAAGCGCCTGCCTGGCAAGTGCAAGGTCCTGATTTTGATTCCCGGTACCAAAAATAAAATAAATAATATAAAATAAAATAAAAAAACATAATTTTGTACTGTATTCTTTTATTGCAGTGGGAACATTTTAGAGACTGAATGCCAAACTGCAACCCAAAAAACAACTTATTTATTACAAAGAGCCAACACTGCAATTAAACCTGAATACTGAGGTTTTGGTTTAGAACAAACAACTGTACATTAACATTTTTGTCTTAAAAACACAATAATGTGTACGCCGTAGTTTTGCCACCAGTTTTATTGAAATTAAGTGGTTTCATATTGATTAGTCTTTTTCTTCCTGTGTTAATTTTCTTTTAAATTGGTAAATAAAAATTGTATATATTACCAGGTACATGTTTTGGAATATGTACACAGTGTAGAATGGCTAAATTGAATTAATTAGCATAGATCTTCCTCCACTTCTTGGGTGATACTTTTAATTTAGCTCATTTTATCTTTTTCTTATAAAATTTTATATTTTCCTTGAAGACTTTATGTGGAAGGAAGGAAGTTAGTTATTTTCCATAGTAGATACTCCAAACACCACTTGCTAGAAATGGATGTGGTGAAGTGTTATGGTTTTTGAACTACAGAGAAGAGGTAAAAGAAAGGACATAATCATTCTTAGGCTAAAATACTATGACACTTGAGGTGAGTTACTGTCACTTATTTTTCGGTTGTTCTGTCTTCAAAACTGACATAACAGAGTCTCATTTTATTCTTCTGGTTAAATGGAGGCTCCTCTCCTTCCAGATTATCCCATCCAAAACCCCTCAGGAATAACGACGGTGCACAAGCTCTTTTGTTTCCTGAGCTTTGTTCCTAAATGTGGGCCGTGTGGATTACTTCAGGCCTACAGATGTTCATTTAAAAATATTTCACTTTCTCAATTTTCCCCTTACAACATAAGGCTTTTCTTTTTATTCACTACCTGAGATTCTTCAAACCAGGATGCACACACAGGTTTGAGCCAATGTATTTCATGCTTGTCATGAAAGAAACACAAAATAGAAGTGTCATGAGGTTGGGGCCAAGGAAATCCCTGAAGCTGAGCTAGCACCCATCAATAAATGTGCAGGTTCACAGGAAAAGAACTTTCAGGACTAGTCAGTAAGAGCCATAAGAAGGGTTTTATCAGGCAGAAATTAAAAAGACGCACACTGAGTGTGCACCTTATGTCCTGGAGTGGGGGACATTTCTTCTTCTCTTGATGGGGTGGAAACCCGCCTCCCACAGTACTGGCCCGTGTTACTGCCTGGTATTTCTTGTTCTGTGTTGTGTTAAGATGGATTATTTCAACATTCTGTGAACTTCCTCAACTTGTTCCTTTATCTTAGGACCAAGTGCCTGCTCTTTACTTTCTCAGTTAAGTTAATTTATAGACTTTCAGTATTCCTGAGGGGTTTTGGGTGTGATAATCTGGAAAGAGAGGAGTCTCCATTTAACCAAAGGAATGCCGATATGGGTAACTTGGGTGACTTTGATTGAGTCATGGAAGTCTTCTTAAAAGCAGTTTTTAAATTTATTATTTCCTTCTCTCTTTTTACCTATCTTTTATTTCTTCTGTCCTACCTCAGAAGAACTGTGGATGCATTCTGAGAGCAATGCTCGTGCATGCGGTGAGGTAAGAGTAGGAGAACAGTGTGGGTGAGCGTTCATCCCATAGTTAGCATTCCACTGTAAGGCAAACCACAGTCTTTGCTAGGAAAATAAACTTCATATTTTGGAATTTTCATTCATCTTTTTTGACTGCATATGAACAAACTGCTACACTAAAGATATATGTAAAAGAAGAGATGCAAATATGTGTGAATATCTATGTAAACATACCTGTACACACACACATGTGCACACACACACACACACATGCATGGACACACATGCACACACACCCGCAGCACTTCCACTGTAGGGTTAATCAAAGTTTCATTAGAGAATACATATAAAAATGTTTGCCACCAGGTACAGTGGCAGATGCATGTAAGCCCATAATCTCAGCTACTCTGGAGGCTGAGGCAGAAAGATCTCATGTTCAAGGCAGTCCTGGGCAACTTGCCGAGACCCTGCATGAAAAAGAACCAAGGACATGCCTAGCAGGCACGAGGTCCTGAGTTCATTCCCAAGCATACCAGTAAAAGTACTTGCCACCTTGCTTGCTATTTAATAAACGCTCAGTACAAATTAGATATTATTATTATACCTAAACACTTGCCTAATAATTTGCATGAATATAAGGAGCCATTCTCGTATTTTATCACTTCTTTCACTGCAAAAGTACCTATTGCAGTCCTACAGAAATCTCCTCTCCCCACCTCCTTAATGGTACCAAGTCCCTGTCCTACCAAAGAGTCCCAAAGTTCAATGTTAACAAGAAGATGCATCCCTTCAGATTTACCAACTCCTTACATTTGTGCCGTCCTTTACAGTTTACAAAAGGATTGTATCCATTTGACTTAGAGGCATCTTATGAGCTAAATAAAAGTTTCCTGTCCTATCAGTGGTATACAGTAGAGTATTAGGATGCTAGGACGCTGTTACAGAGTTCTTCACACTGAGGGGCTTAACAAATTTATTTTCCAAAAAGTGCTGGGGTAGAGAAATTCAAGATCACGGTGCCAACAAGGATGATTTCCTTCTGAGGCTTTTCTCCCCGCCTTTCTTCCGAGGCCATTTTCTCCCTGTCTTCACATGGCCTTCCCTCTGCATTTCCTGTGTCCTACTCCAGTGATGGCGAACCTCTTAGAGACCAAGTGCCAAACTGCACCCAAAACCCACTTCATTATCGCGAAGTACCAACGCTGCAGTTAAACCTGAATACAAGGTTTTAGTTAGAAAAAACAACTCAGACATTAGCATCTTTAGTTTTAAAAGAAAAGCACAGTAATACACATGCCATAGATTTGCCACCACTATCCTAATCTTTGATAAGAATGTCAGTTATATTCAATTAGAGCCTTCTAATATCCTCATTTTAATTAAAGTACTATTTTAAAAGCAATAAAAACACAATGTTCAAAATATCGTTTTATTCTGAGGTACTAGGGGTTAAAATTTCAACATAGGAATTTGGGGTGAGGAGACATAATTCTGCCCAAAACAAATCTCTTGAACAGCATGAGTGCAATCAAGACAAGACTTTTCTGTATTTTTTGTTCCTGACACT